AAGCTCTCAAGTCCTGTGATAGGGGATGTTGAGGGATATTTGTTTACACTGTGTGAATCTGTGTCTCTGCAATAGGTTTAATAAAAGCTGAAAGGCCAATAACTAGGCAGGTGAGGCTAGGTGGGACTTCTGGCAGAGAGAGGAACTCTAGGGTACAAAGTGGAGGAGAGTTAAAGAACCACGTGGCAGAATGTAGATTAATAGAAACAAGTTAATTTAAGTTATAAGAGCTAGTTGGGAACAAGCCTAAGTTAAAGTCCAAGCTTTCATAATTAATAAGAAGTCTCCGTGTCATTACTGGAGAGCTGACAGTCCCCAAAGAAAGTCTGACTACAAGGGGCCATTCTAGAGATGTCACAAGCAAGTGTCTGATTCTGGCCTCTGAGGTGTGAGCATGGCTAAGCTGAGCTGGGAGCCCAGTCCCCCAACAGCTCTGCTCTTAGGATGATAGGGGCACCAAGCATATGAAGTTATGGAGTCCGTACTGTAACACCCAACCTAATGTCTGTTCCCTCCAGGGCTTCCTATCCATGAAGATGCCATAATCTTCACCTTGGGATTTTGATAACCCAGAAGCAAGTCTGGCAAAGGCTTCAACAAAGAGCAGGGCTCCGTCAGCCCTGGGAGATGAATACACATCTCTCCGGGAACATCCACCTATTTGTGGCTCCAAAGGCCGTCAGCCCATCAGTTCAGTGGCCTCAATATTCATGGTAACAGAGGGGCCACAGGATAAACTCATTAACTAGGTAGTTGGGAGGCTGATCAAAATTGGCAGTACAAACAGGAGTAGAGGAGAGGAGAACGAGGGGCTGGGGATGGCTCAATGGTTAAGAGCAGTGGCTACCTCTTGAAAAGAACCTGGGTTTGTGTTCCAGTACCCACATGGTGGCTCACAACAAACTGTCAACTCTAGTTTCCCTGGGAACTGCACACCCATGGTACACTTACATACACACAGGCAAAATACCCACACACATAAAATAAAATAGATCTTTAAAAAAAAAAGAGTAAGAAAATGTCAACATCTTAACTGAAAATAAACATTCCAGGAAACATAAAAACACAACCCTGTTGATACTAACTCTAAAGGATAGTCGGAGCAAACTATTACCTAATATTTGAAAGGGTGACATTTCCGTGGACGACCTTGTTTCACTTTATTATTATTTCTACCGTTAAAATCATGTTCATTTCACAATTTAATTTAAGCTTGACAGTCTTCAATTCTTCTTAATTAGTCGGCACTGAAAGGATTGAGCTGAACTCTGAGCACTCAGTGATGTTTTCCTTTGTGAAGTAGATGTGTGAGTCTTTGCAAAGAGAAGTACTGTGTCTGTCATTATGAACTGACCGGCATCTGTCACCTGGCTCGGAAGGATGCTTTCTCCCTCTTTCATAGGAAACCTTTGATGTTAAGACCGCAGAAGGAACTTACTGTTGGAGTCTGTTCAGAGTGCTGTGATGAAATGCTGTTCTAGTTAGGTTTCTGTGACTGTGATGATCACCAGGACCAAAAGCAAGTTGGGGAGGAAGTTGCCACTTACAGTCCATCACTGAGAGAAGCCAGGGCAGGAACTCAAGGCAGGAACTGAAATGGAGGCCATGAGGGAATACTGCTTACTGGCTTACTCCCCGTGACTTGCTCAACCTGCTTTCTTAAAGAACCCAGTACTCTCCCACATCAACAGTTATTAATCAATAAAACATACCACAGGACAACAGATAGAGGAATTTTCTCAATTGATGTTCCATCTTCCCAGATGACTCTAGCTTGTGCCAAGTTGACAAAACAAACACAAAACACAAAACTAACCCCCGCACTCACCATTAACAAAGTAGCTTATAACACAAGAGAACATACCCACAGCTCCCAAAGCTGGACATCTTAGATGCAGCCCATTCTAGGGTAGATGAGAGCTATTTCCCACTCAGGGGTGTCTATTTCTTCACTATAGCCTCACAAAGTAGAAGGGACTCTCCAATGTCTCCTTTAAACCATTAGAATCATCAGGCTTTTTTATATACCACCCACAATCAGGACTTCTTAAATTCTCATTTCCATCCGAGGTTCTGGATAGGAAGCCAGTTCTCTCTTGTTCAAAGAGGATCTAGCAAATGTGTGAGAGGAAATGCTTTCTGTCTTCCAAATGAGATGCTCCCCGCTTGCTGTAATGGGAAGGATTGGGACATAATTGAAAAGGGGATACAATCTCTCACTCTGTGATTGTGTGCACTAATGTTCTGTCTGCTGTAGCCTAAAATCACACCTAGCATTAGTCCCATGATACCTACACCTGGGTAAATGCTAGAGTATGGGGAGCAGAACTGTCATTCTCATAACTGAATCTTTTAGCTGAAGCCAAAAGTTTCTTAAGGATGAGCAGGGCTTTAGCGAAAGAGATGGATACATATGGACCACATGCACAAGCTGACACACCTCATGGCTTCTGGTAGTTTAATGGATTTTAACACATACACCATATTTATTTATTGACTTTGTGTGTGTGTGTGTGTGTATGTGTGTATGTGTGTGTGTGTGTGTGTGTGTGTGTTTGCATGCGTGCACGCATGCACGTGTGCACGTGGCTGTGTGCACATGTGAAGGTCAAAGGGCCATTTCCAGGAGTTGGATCTCTTAGTCCACCATATGGATTCTGGGGCTTGAACTCAGGTCATCAAGCTTACCCCCAAGCACCTTTACCCACTGACCCATCCTACCACCCCTCTTCTGTTCTTTTAATGACGAATTCTAAGTCAAGAAATCGTTCAGTCACGACTCCTAGTATCTTTACTCAATTTCAGAAACTGAGGCAATATGGCAGTAAGCAACTGGAGTCTATGAACAATGCCAAGTTTGTATTTTGAGAATGATGAACAATTAGTATTAACCCCAAAACCCATCACAGTCATGGATATTGTTGGCAGAGCTGTGGAAGTCATATCTTTGTATTAATAAGGCATTGTTTAGTCTTTCTTGGTTATTCAATGCTGATATTTTCCCTCCTTGCCATAAAGTCTATTATGCTATTATTGAAATGTTTCTTTTAATTGAATATAAGTACATGCATTTTAAAATGAGACCAATATAACACTCTCAGGGGAAGAAATGTTTTGTCTGCAACTGAGTAACAAGCAGCTCAGTCAGTGCTGTGCTGCTCATCATCCTGTGTTTTAGTTTGCTTCTTTGTATCTGTGATGAAACACAATGCCCAATGACTCACAGTCTGTCATTCAGGGAAGTCAGGGAAGGAACTCAAGGCAGGAACCTGGAAGCAGGAACTGAAGCAGAGCCCATGCAGGAATGCTACTTACTGGCTTGCTCCCCAATGGCTTGTTCAGCCTGCTTTCTTATAGCACCCAGGACCACCTGCATAGAGGTGGTACCACCCACAGTGGGCTGGGCCTCCCACATCAATCATTAATCAAGTAATGCCCCTTAGGCTGATATGATAGAAGCATATTCTTAATTGAGATTCTTCCCTCCCTGATGACTCAATTTTCATCACTTTGGCAAAAACTAACCAGCACACCATGCAAGCCTGGAGGCCTGAGTTTAATCCCCACAACCCATGTTAGACAAAATAAACAAAGGGCATGGTGATGCACACTTGTAAACTCAGTGCTGGTGAGGCAGAGACATTAAGATATGGGGGGCGGGAATCATAGGCCAACAGCCTAGCCTAATCAGTACATTCCAGGACAATAAGAGACCTTATCTCAAAAACCAAGATAGATCATGTTTGAGGAACAATAGCTGAGAAGGTTCATCTCTGGCTTCCAAAGGTACTTGCACACACATATGGACATGACACCTACACACACATGTGCATTTGCATGCACAAGGGGATATGACACACAAGTGTGCTCACATGAAGAAATGAAATAAACTCAACAAAAACGAGGCCACCACTCTTGCACCTAGTGCCTGCCTCCTGCTTCCTAGTGGTTAAGAAGGAAGCTGAGAAGCATCAGGGAAATGAGGAAGCTGGAGATGACAATGCTTCTGTTTGCTGTCACTGAAGATGTCTAAGGAGCTTCAGAGGGTGGCTGCACATGACTGCATCAGATGTTAACCCAGCTGCAGCTGCATCCTTCTGAGGTCTGCCCAAGCAGTTCTAGAACTATGCACCATGGCTCAGCAGCCTCTGGATACTAGCAGAGGTGGGCAACTTCAGCTCCAGGGACTCTGTCGTGGCTGCTGATCCATCCTCCTGAGACAGTGGTTAGTCTAGGCATGAGACAAGGACTCATTTTTGACTATTTCTAACCAATTCTTCTGCTGGTATGCATGGTGAGTGCTGGAGCTGTGGCAGCCTTCCTGCTACCAGAGGCACATGCTTCTTGGGTAAATCAATGTGTCAAAGATGGAGGACAGGGAAGAAAGGAGGGTTCTGCAGCCTTAGTGACTTCTCTGAATTTCTGGGCTGAGTTCACTTCTAAATATTTCACTGAGTAAGTACCAATCATATTCACAATTTAAGGCCTTGATTACAATGTGGTGCTTGCTTGTCACTGAGGTACATACAGCAGTATAACCATAGCTGCCTAGATCAGGCATATTAATTTCAGGACCCCCTTTTGGTATAGACATCAAAAGAAAGACTTGGAATAAAGTAGACTATTAAAATGATAGAAAAAAATGCAAAGGGAAAAATATTCAAACTTTCCCTAGTTTTGTACTTTCTTAGTTATTAATGTTTGATATTTAAGTCAATAGATTTTTTTAGAAAAGACACAGATGGAACTGGAGAGATGGCTCAAGCGTTACGAGCACTGGCTGTTCTTCCAGAGGACCTGGGTTCAATTCTCAGTATCCACATGGGGGCTCACAACCATCTGTAACTCCAGCTCCATGGGATCTGATGCCCTCTTCTGGCCTCCAAGGGCAACTGTATTTCACAGACACACATACAGGCCAATACTCACATACATCAAATAAAATAAATATGAAGAAATAAAAGACACAGAGATATCTTGAAAATGAACTAGAAATTGTTTACCTTGAAGGGGGATGTAATGGACATTCTTGTGATGATTTTAAGGGCCGGTAAATGGACTGGTTCTCAAGTCCCCTTCTTGTGGGCCTGCTGACCCATTTAAGCAGGCTTCTTCCTTCTCATTTTCTACCCTGTGTCTCAGGGCTTTCTGTGCTTAAAACACTAGATCAGAAGAGTGAGGCAGGGAGGGGACATATCTAGAGTAAGTTCACATTTCTGTTAGAACTGGTCAGGTCCTGAGAACATGGAGACCACAGTTGAGGGATTTTGAGAACCTTGTGTGACATCTTCCAATTTTCCTGGGATCCTGGAAAGAGAGGGACATTATGAGTTCAGCCAGGGGGTGGTAACTGCAGTGCCTTCTGATACAGTCTGCTCTGTGTTGAATCTGAACATTGACGATCAATCATTGAATGTAAGAGTGTGAAGGACTGCAGCAGAGATAGAAGAAATATGGGACTGCATCTTTCTGTGCTGTGAGCACCCCAGGCTTGCCCACACCACCATCTCCATTGTGGGAGCATGTGAACTAACCAGAAGGGTGGATGAGCAGGGACAGTGCATACAACTCGGAGGCCAGTGTTCCTTGGTGAATCCCAGGCTAGTGGGATGACACGAGACATTGTAGTGAGTCTTCAATTTGAGGGCTCAGGAGACACCTTCTACCTCTCTTCTGCCTTTCCCCTCCTAGGTAGACACAAGCAGGTCAGATGCTCAGGCCTTGTCCCAACCAAGACCGTGACGCCAACACTTCTCATTTCCTAGAACTGTGTAGGGCTGGGCAGTGGGACTCAATAACACTTGGCTAGGAAGCATGAGTGACAGAGACAAGTTTGTCACTGTTGAAAACTGCCTCAGGAGGGCTGATGGGCAATTTTCTTAGGTTTCTGAAGTCTTCATAGATGTCAGGATCCATGGAAGGACACGTTTAAATAAAGGAGGAGAGAAGAATCAAACAGAGATTTGGGCATGTGCTCCCTCCACTGGTCCTGTCTAAACTTAGGCCATTCTATTCAGGGGATGGAGGCTGGATCCTTGGTGAGCACTTCTAGCCTCCAGGAGCCTCATGCATCATCCTCCGAATGCTGTCAAAATATTCTTGATTCTGGTGTACCTTGGCTTTGGAAAAGGATGGGTTCTCCTCCACAACCTCCTGGTGGTACATGCTGGTTGCCAGGCACCCATCTATATGTGAAATAGAACACTCTGCAGGGTTCTGCCCCATCTGTTCTATCCAGAAGGGCACTGACAGCTAGGAATGTTCTATGACAGCCGAGCTCGGGCCTCATGGTGGGCTTGCTTCCTGCCACACATTTCAATGCCTGTTTTCTCTGGGGGGAAGAAAGGTCTTCCATGATGTGAGGATTTCAGACAGCCTTAGGCTACCAGGGGTCTCTCTAGGAGATTGCTTAAGTGTTACTGTGATAGTTGTCAGAGTAGATCAGTTGAATGTTAGAAGGGAAACCGAAATTAACATTTCCTAATTATTATTATTTTTTAAACAACGAAGACTGTGACAAACAAGGTTGATTGCAAATGTCTAAAGAAGATTAAAATTACCCCTGGCCTTTTGAACAACGTGAAAATGGCAAATTAGGCAGCAAACAACCAGGCCATCATAGGTCTATTTGTTTTTGTAAGAATAAAAAGACCAAGCTATGTGCCATGGTGCACACCCATAATTCCAGCACTCAGGAGGTGGAGACAGGAGCGTCAGGGGTTCAAAGCCAGCCTTCACTGCATGGGTTCAAAAATCATTCTGGGATATATGAGATCCTGTCTCAAACAAACAAACAAACAAACAAACAGACAGACAAGACAAACCAGTATGCTAACATGGAGAAAGAATGTCATGGACGTTCACTCAAGGTATGTTTGTGGCTCACAGGTGAACATGGTTGTGGCCGTCGGAAAGAGTTGAAATCCTTGTTCTGTAAAACTATAAGCCAAACACAGGGTTCCTTAAACTCAACTTGAAAGAGTGAAGAACTCGGAACAGACAGAGGAGGTAAAACTTCAGCCTTATAATGAATGGAGCCCGCGTCCATCATTGGCTCACAGACGGCAGGAAAATGCCTCAGCTGAGGGCAGCCACGTCCACAGTTCTGGGACACATCCCACTGGCAGACAATGGCAACCCCAGTCCTGGTCAGCTGCTTGCAACATGTAATGCCCTCCTCTGGCCTCCTTGGTGATGGTGATATGGAGGGTGGCTGTGGCTTGGATATAATTTGGAAAACAGGGCTGGCCTGGATGCTCAGTTCCAAAATCAGCAAACACTCCCCAGTGAGAGCTTAGTCGGGGCAGGAAGCAATGGGATTCACAGGTTATGAAGGCAGGAGGGGGGCATGTTGGGGAAGGGGAAGAGTATCAGGAAAGGGGGGAGTAGGGAGGTAGCAGAGGGCAGTGTGGGGGGGTATGAATAAGAATAACCAAATACAATGGCACAGATGTGTAAAAATGGTATAACAAAGCCCTTTACATTTTTACTAACTTGAAAAGAAATTTGTGATGAAATGCAGAGCCTGAGCCAGGCAGGTGGTACAAGTCTGTTTCCCCTGCATTTGGGTGGTGAGGGCAGGGAGCGTGCAGGCAGGAAGCAAGTTCTAGCTACAGGGTGAGGGACTATATTGAGAGTAAAATGGAAATAAATGAAAGAAGGAAAGAAAATGCATAGCAGGATCCCAATGTAAAGCAGAATCTCCACAGGCATCCTGCACCAGCTCAAGGCTCCCTATGGTGACAATCACAAGTTTGAATTTGTTCTGATCCATGTTCTTTACCAAGGGATTTCCCTGTGTGAAATCCTGTAGTCTTGACATAGTCTTTGTGTAAAGAGGGAGGAGTCTGGCAGAAAATGAGGTGGATGAGAACATAGACTCACATCCACAGAGAAGCACACAGGGTAATACAGCCTGCTACTGAGCTGACTGGAAGCTGGGCAAGTGGCAGGCCCCACTGTACAATGGAGAGGACTTGCAAGCTCCAGGGGCTTGAAGACCACCTGCTTTTAGCACAGTTTCCATAGATGGGAGCACTGGGAACAAGATAGACTGAGACACAAAAAAATGAGAAGTCAGACTGGAAATGGTTCTGCCTGTAACATGTTAGTGGTGTAAGCAGGAGGCCCAGAGTTGAAGCTCAGAACACAGGCTCTTAGTGACTTTTCCATTGCTGCAAATAACACACCACGATCAAGGCACCTTACAGAATGAAGAGGTTATGTGGGCATCTGGTTCCAGATGGATAAGAGTCCATCACAGCAGGGGGGCATGGCAGCAGGCAGCAGGCAGCAGGCAGCAGGCATGGTGACAGGAGCAGGAAGCTGAGAGCTGGCATCTTCAACTGAAAACGCGAAGCAGAGAATGAATTGGAAGTGGCGTGAGGTTTTAAAAACTCATAGCCCAACCCCAGTGAGGTACTTCCTCCACCAAGACTACACCTCTCTATACCCTCTCTGATCAGCCCCATCAACTGGGGATAAAGTATCCAAATGCTTAAACCTGTGGGGGAGTGTTTCTCATCCCTACGTAAACAAACAAACAAAAGTCAAAAACCAAGTGTGGTGGCTTGATTATAATTATAGCCCTAGCCCTGGAGACGAAGAGATGGTTCTTGGAGCTCATTGGCCAGCCTACTTAACCTAATCGGTAAGCCTAGGATGCAAGTGAGAAACCCTGGCTTCAGAGGAACGACACCTGTCTTCTCATGTGTGTGTGTACATGCATGCATGGTTTGTGTGCGAACTCGAGCGCATATGTACACACACACACACACACACACACACACACACACACACACACACACACAAGTGTAAAAGTCTCAGTCTCTGCATAAAGAAAACAGGCTGCAGCCACGGCACCCAGAAGCATCCATCCTCCCAGGCTCGCTTGCTGGCTGTTTTATTGGTGAAACCATCAGTCTTGTTAGCTTTGGCAACACAGTACTGATGACCGGGCGTGTTTTCAGTGTTGTTATTATTCTAACATAATCACTATTGGAAGCATCTGTTGTTAAACACAGTGCTGTGTGCACAGTCTTGGTTGATTGGTTTCTGTTAATTGCATCCATAAATTATGCATTAAAGTGGAGGCTGGAGCAGAGGGAGGGTAGCAGGCACAGGGGAATACTGAGCCAGCTCTGTCCCTAGGAAGTGGCTGAAACTCAGACTCCTTGTTGTTTCTTTCCTTGACTACCTCCTCTCTCATTTGCGTGGCCTTCACATCCATAACTGGTAGAAGTCACAGAGAACGAATAACCTATTAGGGATCCAGGAAGACATTCCCTGTGGCTTATCCTCTGGGTCCTTAATCCAGGGTGAGGTAGGACCACCAGCTTATGCTAAACTTAGAGGTCTGATCCGCTCTGAGCTCCTCAGGGCAGACCACACTGGTGGAGTTTGGGTTCATTCTTATGACCCTGCTGGGAGGGAACAGTCAGCCCCAAATCATCAGCCACAAATATTCCCTTCTTATTGACTTTGATCAATGATGGTCTTCCTTGCCTGGGCACGGCCAACCTCAACAGTGTCCTCCATGCAAGACATCTGCTGGGACTTGGAAGTGGACTGACTAAAGTTCTCCCTCCCCCTACTAGGGCAACCATTCTTCTCTCTTGAACATCTTCACCTTAGTGGCTCCTCCTTCAGCACCTTGGTTCCACAGCTGATGTCAACAGATAGTCAAGAACCTTGACATCCTCACACCCAGTGCACAATTCACCTGTTCCAGGAGCATCCACTGAAGCAGCCATTTCTCTTCTGGAATCCCCATTTCTTGTGGCCTTGGATTCTCTTGTTGATGTCACTTCTATGCTCTTCACAGGACATAGACCACGGTTCCCCCTTGGTCTCCATTCTTCTCACTCTATCCTCCTGTATCATCCAGCACAGAAGTGTGGGGACTGCATGAATCCTCTTCTCCTCTACTTCCTTATCTGTGAAGTGGAGATACAATGGAATTAGCCTTGTGTTGCCATGGTGAGGAATGAGTGACTGGATTCAGGGTAGTGCTCAGAGGAGATCAGGGATCACAGTCATGAACTGTGGACTCCTTCAGCTCTGACCGCACAGGTTGCCAATGACTACCATGGTTTTTTGTTTTGTTTTGTTTTGTTTTCACAAAGATATGAACATCTTTTTCACTTGAGCCTCCAGAATGAGCCCAGGTCCTACATCTAGAAGACTGTCTTTTTCCCTTATGTGTCCTTCTGTACATGGAGACTAAGATCCTGTTGCTTTCCATGTTAGATTATCTCATCACTGTGACATAGAAGCCCAACATAAACAGCCCACAGAGAGCAAAGGTTTATAATGGCTCACGGTTTCAGTGGTTGGCAGTTCCCATGCTCATCACAGTGGAGGCTGATGAGAGGAAGGGATGGAGTCATTTGGTTAGCTTTCTCCTTTTCTCCAGCCCACAGGAAGCTACCATTCACGTGCAGAGCAAGACATCTACTCTTAGCTAAGCCTCTCCAGAATGGCTGTCATAGAAAAACCTAGAACTGTGCTTCAGTCTCCTGGATGATTCTAAGGCAAGCCACATTGACAATGAAGATTAAACACCTCACCTGATCTCCCAGATCTATGGAGCTTCCATATCCATTGACCTAGGAGAGTGAGTCTAACAGTTCAATCATTACTCAAATACAGATCTCTCAGTCTGGGTCTCACATCTATATGTCAGACCTGCTTCTGACCACCCACACCCATCCACATCCACTGCCCACAGCCACCACACCCACCCACACCCATGCACAGCCATTCACACCCACCCACACCCTACTCTCCTCTGTACCATCTGCCTGAGTGCTGCTTTCTAATTCACTTGAACCCCAAGAGCCTCCTCCCTCTCCATCTCTTTCCATAGCTGCAAGCTTCAGACACTGAAGCATAGGCTGTGACTTAAAGATGACATCACCTCCCATACATGTCCTCTCCCAGTCCCTCAGCACATGTCCAAGAGTCACGTTCCTTACAGATCTATCCCAAAACCTTGCTCTTAAATTTTCTTTCTGGCCACACTGAACTTTTCTGTCCTTCACATGAGTTTATTTTTTTTTTTTAAACCCAGTCCTCAATTCACAAACATTCCATTGTTTCTCATTCCCCACCAATTCCTTGCCTTGTTTATATTTCATCTTAGACAAATTCTCCTGCCCTGGAAACTGTCCCTGCTCCCTGCTGCCCTAT